GGCGACAAGGAACCCGTTTTCGCCCAACAACGCAAGACGGCCGATATCGGCCTGGTGTGTAGGGGCCTTTAGAAACTCCGGGGGGGACGACGACGACGGGGACGACTTTCCTGGCATTGATCCGGAGTCCGGAGTCTCCGGACCAGTGACCTTGTATAAAATTCACAAGTGGACCTTTAATAAAAAAGTTTGAGTACCCCTGGTCTACAGACTGTGTAGGCAAACAGAGTGTTTTATAGTATCTAACGTGGGCTAAAAGTCTCAGTTTCATGCCACATGTGTGTTACTGCTGCCGGTTCGTCAGGCTGCCGCGTCACTCCCCGAAAACGCACACACACGTTACTACAGTTTATATGCCTTATATAGAAACATTATTGACCAACAATGCCAACAAAGTGTAAAAACTCATATGGGCTACTTACGTCAGTTGTGGGTCTTCTCAGAGGGAAAAAAGTAAAAGTGTTTGTTGCTCACTGCCTCTTCTCCTAATTTGACTTTAATTCCCTCCCTCTTTCAATGGGTGGAGTGGAGTCATTCACCACCTAATGGGACAGGACTGAAGTCGTTTTTACTCCAAATGTGAAACATGAAACAAATGATAGAAATAAAACATGTGCTATCTATTACAAAATTAACTTTAATATTTAATAACATTACTAAACAAGGAAGCAGTAGTAGAATAATAATTCAGATATTTTACTTGAGTAAAAGTGGCAATACCACACTTCATAAAACAATGTTTGACTCTGCCAAGTAAGTTAAAGTGTAAACTAAAGGTATTTTAGTCAGGAACTTTTTTTAATCTGAATTGGGGTGGGGTCTACATATTAAGTAACAAATAAAGGAAATAAGATTATAAAAAGTCATAGATAACAAGCTTTGAAGCCAACATGGAAATCTGGCGATTTGCCATTGCACGAAGACCCTCAGATTTGTGAGGGTATTGCATGATATTTGGCATCCAAGATTCCCAATTCACAACACCCTGGTCCAGCTCATAAAATACATAATTGATAGAGGCTGTTGTTAATAAAGCACAAAATATCTAGAAAATGATTGCCTGAAAAGTGAAGGTACAAAAAGAGAAGATCCAGCTTAACTTTCACCTGGAAATGTCCTCTTTGACCCCACCTGCAAACTGAAATGCAGTCAGTCAGGTCAACTTACACTCAGGTTGATAATGTTGTTCTGCACAAACAGTGGCATGTTTTATTGTAGGAACCATCTGCTCTTGATATAAAAGCAGGAACCAATGTCTGTTTTCGTCTTGCTGGAACTGAAAGCAAACATTGGTGCCTGTCTTTATATCATGAGCACCAACGGCATTTTTAATCAGATTTTAAAATATGAAAAGCGGTTTGCCACTTAAGAATTTTTGGGATTTTTATAATTGTTCTCCCGATAGATGCTGAAATGAAACCCTGGTGGACAGATTGGAGTTTCTTTCCCTCCACTTCACATGAACAGAGAGAACAATGTTGACTGTTGACAGAGGAAGTGTGAGTATTGGGTCAGAGTTTCAACAGTTTTACTGAAGCCTGATTTTAGCTTAAACAAACATGTTGTAAGAGTCATCTTACTGCAGAAAGTGGAGACACATCACAGAGCAATAATAAAAACCAAATTAGTGTACTGTGCATAATGAAACACTATAGTGCAATGCAACAGGCTAAAAACTGTTGGGGAAGATGTTTTTGTTTAAATCCATACTGTATATTCTCCAACACAAGTTATTTTAAAGTTAAACTGTAAAAGTGCCAAAATGTTTTTTTCTGATACATTTTCTTAATGCCTGCCACTAAAACTAAAAGGGTGACATCACACTCCACATTCCCAAATGTTTTCTCAACATGCTAAGTTAAAGTTTCCCTTACACCCGGCGCTAATACTCTTCTCTGGGCTTGTCTCCCAGCCTTGCAGCTTTGTTATAAATGAGAGCACTGTCCCTGGTTAACATGGATCACTGTAAGAGTTTTGTCGTGCTATAAAGTCATTCATCCTCTGTTCTCTGTTTCTCTGGATCGACTTCACATTGTAAATAAAACAATGCTTCAATGTTATGTATGATAATACTAAAAGTGTTTCTTTATTGAGCCACATAAATATATATATATATATATATATATATATATATATTTATATCTTTACTTACACCAACAGTGAAATCCACAAATACAGACATTGACAATAAGTGAATGAGACAGGAACAAAAACCATCAGGTGACACGACCAGATTACAAATCTAAATAACTGACAAAAATAATAAATAATAAATTAATACAATAAAAATATGAATCAATTAAAATGAATCAATGCACAAAAGGACAAACATAAAGGCACTCGGCAATACAACCATTCCCAAGCAGCTATTCACTTTGGCTTTCAAGAACATTCAGCCACATATTAACCAAACGTCTTTCTCCTTTCTACTGCAGCTGACACACGTGTTACTTATAGACACGTAGATTTGCTTATAATTAATCAGCAAGATCATTAAACTCCTGTACGCCAACTATTATGTTTACCTTTGGAAACCAGAAACCGAGCTGCAACGGCCTAATGCATGATGGGAAAAAGTAAGAAACAGAATGGCACGTCTTAAAAAGATGAAGTGCTACCAAAAGGACTTCACACATCAAGGGTGTCCTACTGGTTACAACACAACACTTGGGAAACATTCAACATGTTTTGGAAAAACCTTGTAAGTGTTCCTCGTGAAATGAAAGAGATTTCAGTCATGCAAGCGTAAAGATTGTTTAAACTTTGGACCAAATGTTCAATTCCTCCCCGGCAGCCTCAGTCACACAGCTTCTAATGTGGAGAGTGTGAACACAGCAGGAAGGACACACTCTGTCTATCTTCCAGAAACAGGAACTGTCCTAACTGTGTGACCAAAGAATGATGCCAGCTTCCTCTATGTGGTTAACCTCTTTTCCTAGTATGTATAAAGTCAGCCTTTGACAGTTAACCATGGAGGGGAAGCAAGGAGAAATGTTTCCAAGTGGTTCATTAAGATCACTTTTAAAGGTGGGGTGGGTCATTTTGGAGAAACCAGCTGGAGTGCGCTAGAATTTGAAAATACACAGCCGGAGAAAATCTGCCACTTCCTTACAGAGCCCCTCCTCCAACACACACGAACGCGCACATGACCAATGAGGGCACGAGATAAGTTTGTGCACAGATGGAAGGCTGACAGGCAGGTAGGCCATCCAGTTATTTTAGCCGGGCCGGCTAAAAGGTTTGTGCACATCTCAGGAAGGATTGTGGTCCACTCCTCTCTGAAGATCCTCTCCAAATCATTCAGGTTTTTAGGCTGATGTTTGGCATCTGGAAGCTTCAGCTCCCTCCACAGATTTTCTATGGGATTAAGGTCCGGATACTGACAAGGCCCCTCCATCACCTGAATGAGCTTCTTCTTTAGCCCCTCCTGTGTTGCCTTGGCCGTATGTTCAGGGTCATTGTCCTGCTGGAAGACCCCTCCATGACCCATTTTCACTGTCCTGACTGCTGGCTGAGGGAAGGAGGCTATCGGCCAAAGTTAAGACTAAAAAAACACAAACACTTCTGCACATTGGTGTAACATATAAAACAAAACTGCATTAAATCATGCAATATTTTAAGATTTTAATTTGACATTAAATAAAGTATTTATTTATTTAATTTAACTATGAAATGAATAATGTTATTCTTCCGTGAGTTTCACCCCGCTCGCTCCAATGACAATTTGACCATTTAGTAAGGTAAAAAGCAAAAAGTAGAAACGCCTCTCAGACGCTCTTCCGTTTACTGGTTTAATAAAGAAAAACAAATGATCTGAAGATACACGTAGGGGAGACCAGCTACAGTTGGAACACGGGTCGGTTTTAACACCTTCAATATCTCCAATCACAAACAAGCTCGAGTGATGAAACTCACTCTGCACATGCGCAGATAGATGGTCAGATCGCTGAGAAAAAACGGAGCCACGTTTGAATTTCTCGCGTAAGATATCAGCAAAAGTGTTTCTGAGGTAAAATATTAACTACAATTATATGATGTATTTTTTGGATACTGTCTTGAGTTCAAATGTCTAGGAATCCAAACTAGTATTATTAGAATCACTGTTTTGTAAGCTACAAATATAACTGAATATGGGTCAAGCTAGCAATCATGCAGGTTCACAGGGGGTGAAAGCAAGACTGGTGGTCCTGGGACGGTTGTAACGGGACGGTTGTAACATGGCACATTTACAATGATGGCTCATTTGCTTGAATTATCAATTGTTCATTCAAGCATACAGTTGTATTGTTGATTGGTGCATTGTCCCTGTAAAAATAAACAGAATAAAATACTGTAGGCCTAAAGTGTGTGTGTGTGTTTACAGTATGTCAAATGTCAGAAAGAGGAAGACAGACAGGGGAGTGCCACTTGCTCTGCTGCAGAGGGCCTCAAATGAAGTTGAGAAGGGCAAATCATTCAGGGAAGTGGCAAAGTCCCTGGATATATGCCATGTCACCCTGTACCGGTTCCATACAAAGAGGCTGAGGTTGGAGAGTCAGGGATCACAAACACCCCCAAGAGTAGGCTACTGGACACCAAAGAAGGTGTTCTCAACAGAGCAGGAGATGCTTTTGAGAGACTACCTGATGGAGGCAGCTGATTTATACTATGGTCTCAGCTCAAAGGAGGTAGGTCTACATAATTAAGGTAGAAGCACCTCTCAGAGAACAGTTTAATCCTTCACAGAGGATGATGCTGTGTGTTATCTGTTATCCTGTTCATTGTTCATTGTTTGTTGGAGGATGTGTGAAACCCCATTCAAATCTTGTTGCCTTAGAATTTGACAGCTTTCCCTCTTTGTTGTCATGTAGTGTGAAAAAAGGTAACCGTTATTAACATGTTACAACATGTTTTTAATACATTTTCCAACCTGTACTTATTTCATAAAAACATCTTAAATACATTGTTTCAGTAGCTGACATATTGATAATGTATAATATAGCAAAATGGCTATCCTATTGTAAATGTTTTTTTACTTATTGGGGAAAAGCCCAAAAAGTGTTGCAACTGTCCCTCTGGTCTCCCCTACTCACAGGGTTCACATCAGGACCTTTATATCATTGGCTCCTGCTAACCGATCTGCCGTTGAGCCCTAGTGGAAACGCAAACGCCGCCCTCTCCCTCTGTAACTCTATAGCTTTGAACTACACCTGTTGTTGTAATCGGACATATTCAGACATGAAAACCAGAAAACAGAACTGTCAGCACTGAGGTCTCTGCAGTCTCAACTATTTAAAGGTAAGAACACATGTTTCTACTTTTTTAAATATATCTTACTGCCAGCGACGTGCAGTCAAGCCTCACCTGTCATACTCCAATGTAACATGTAGAAAAACAACTAAAGAAAAACTAAATAGTAATAATAATAAAATGTCTCCACTGATCTGTGTTGTAAGTGTGATTTCTGTATGATTCCAATCGCTTTTTATAGTCAAAATCTATATTTTGCCGAGCTCCGCTACAACTACATGGGAGCGATGAGGAGTGACCCCACAGAAACTGTCTGGAAAGCGGGCACTAAGCGCATGCCTGTTACCATCTCACTGGATGTCACCAATGTAATGTTTGTAGATCCCTTTATTACATTTATCCTCGCCATCCATAGTCTCTAAATAACTTATTTCACGTATATATTTAGGCCCGCTGGTCTCATCATACAACGGCAATGACAAAAGCACCTGGGGCCTCATTTATAAAGGGATATACGCTCAAAAAATGGCGTACGCCAGTTTCTACGCAATGTTTGCGATTTATAAAATACTAACTTGACGGGAAAATGTGCTGTCCTCCACGCAAACTCTAACACATGCGTACGCACTAAGCACACAAACGGGAGAGACGAGAAACTGCCACACCGTTGGCAGAAGGAAGAATGGAGAGAAATATGTGGAAATAATACCATAAATAAAATGTTACCTCATTTATCAAATATGAATAATTCATTTTCAAACATTGATTAAAGCCAATCTTAAAATGATTAAACAAACGCCTGTTTGAGACTCCTCAGTGCACACAAAAACATAACTTGGAGAAATAAATAAATACGGATATGCTATTTAAAACCACCTCGAATATGTTGTGTTAATGTTATGAAATGTTTTCTCATAAATGATGTGGTAAGCAGGAGGACAGAATAACGTCTAAACTGACGCCGTTTTGCATTTCTATAGGTTGTGATTGATTGATTGATTGATTGATTGATTGATTGAAAAGTTTATTAACAGCTTGTATATTGGGTACAGTACAGTACAGCTCAAAACATACAATTGTTAAGGGGATGCAGACCAGAGAAAGACTTTCGTCTTGTTTACATCAGGGTCCCCCATTTCCAATTCATCATATCATTTAAGACATATAAGACATATTTGACATACAGATGGCTTATTTACAATTTACATACAGGTGGTTTTTTACATACAGATGGCTTATTTACAATTTTCATTTTAGATTGATTTGTAGATACGAGCATGGTTTTATATACTATCACGTTTAATCGTGTGTTATGCCGTTTGCCAAGACTTGATAAGTCGCTCATAAAACACAAGAGGTATGGAAACTAAGAACACCCTATGTGGTAAATTGTACAGCTAATATAACACAACACATTAGTTGTATTTCCTTTAACTGGTGGATTATGGATATATAGTTGCTGATCGACAGCTGGAACTCAAACCACCAAATACGACAAAATAATTCAGATCCAGTCGTCATGACTACACTCCGGAGGGATTCCCCGATCATTTCTTACAGTTTCTCATCAAGGGGGTGTCTCCTGTCCCCGGTACAAACACACTGCCCGAGGAAGGTTATGTGTATTTTTTTTGGTTAAGCTCTTTCCAATTGCCCCAGTTAAGACTGCTTTTGCTGCAGTTTCTGTGAACAAAGTGCACAAAACTAATTAACACGTCTACACTCTGCTACACACAGAGACCGGTATATGTGATCATAAAGAAATGTACATAAAAATACTACTTCATTTTCAGGTTATTCTCATGCAACTATTTTAATTGTCTATTTTAGTTAAACAGTTTACAGTTTGAAGAATAATATGCACATTGAATATATTCAAACAAATGTAAGTAGCTTAAAGGTTACATTATATTATTATAATTTTTGTAACTTGGTATCAGTGTCTAGTTTATGAAAACAGGAACGTTTTTATTGTAGGAACCATCTGCTCTTGATATAAAAGCAGGAACCAATGTTTGTTTTGGTCTCGCTCGTCTCGCTGGAAGGGTAAGCAAATATTATAAGAGGTTTATAAAAAAGACATGCCACTCATACTATAGTATAATTTTTCTCTCCGAGAAATGATGTTACGAATCCACGGTCGATAGATTAGAGATTGGAGAGGCTTTCTCACAGTATTTGCATTTCCCTCCAATTTACATAAACAGAGATAACAATGTTGACTGTGGCACAGAGGCAGTTGTATTGGCATCTGGCCAGAGTTTCAACCGTTTTACTCAAGCTGGATTTTATCTTCAGAAAATACGTTATTTTAGTGAGTCATCTTACTGCAGAAAGTGGAGACACCTCACCCAGCAATAACAAAAACTACATTATTGAACTCTGCATGAATGCAAAAGCTGTCCCTTCAACCTCACAAATTCACTATTATTATTATTGTTGTTATTATTCAGAGAGATTCTGAAACAAACTAAAGGGGTTCAGTTGGTCCTGTATTTCAGTCTGTGTTCACTGATCTCAAAGCAGAAAGTATTTCCTGATTCAGTTCAAATAAAATATAATGTTGATATCTGGCACCACCTACTGTTCCTGGTGTCAGTCCTCTGTGCAATAAGTAATGTGGTAAAGACAGACTGTGTGTTTTCTGATGTGTGACATTGGTGTGTGTGTGTGTGTGTGTGTGTGTGTGTGTGTGTGTGTGTGTGTGTGTGTGTGTGTGTGTGTGTGTCCTCTCACAGGGAGAAGATGATCTTCCTCATCCTGCTGCTCCTCTTCCTCACCCCCTGTGTCTCTGGTTAGTTTACTCCTTTATTTCCCACTCAGACACATTGAATATTGTTGAAAATCTTTTGAGTCACGTTTTACCTTTTCATAAAGAAGCATCTTAGAGCTCTTTGGTATGGAACACTATTAGTGCAAGGCAAGAGGGTCAAAACTGAGGAGGGGGATTCTGATTTATTTAGCTTTTTTAAAATGTCAAGAAGTGGAGCTTTCAATATATTCTCTAACAAAAGTAGTTTGTTATTAAAAGTTCAATGTTTATTCTTAATAATTAAACTTTAAAAGTGCCGAACTGTTTTTTCTGATACATTTTTCCTAATAACTGCACTCAAATTGAAAGATTGATATTTGACTCGACATCTTGGCTTTTTTCTTAACATGTTAAATAAAAAAGTAAAATAGTCCTTTTCTTCTTTATTTCCCTCATACCCTAATACTCTTCCTCACCTGAGGAGACCTCTGTCTCTGGTTAGCTTCAGTTAGTCTCTTTAAAGCTGTTCTCAGTAAAGCAGCACAGAAACATAGCTGCAGTTTAAAGAGTCCCTCTGTGTCTCCTCCACAGGAACATAGCTGCAGTTTAAAGAGTCCCTCTGTGTCTCCTCCACAGGAACATAGCTGCAGTTTAAAGAGTCCCTCTGTGTCTCCTCCACAGAAACATAGCTACAGTTTAAAGAGTACCTCTGTGTCTCCTCCACAGAAACATAGCTCTAGTTTAAAGAGTCCCTCTGTGTCTCCTCCACAGGAACATAGCTACAGTTTAAATAGTCCCTCTGTGTCTCCTCCACAGTAACATAGCTACAGTTTAAAGAGTACCTCTGTGTCTCCTCCACAGAAACATAGCTCTAGTTTAAAGAGTCCCTCTGTGTCTCCTCCACAGGAACATAGCTGCAGTTTAAAGAGTCCCTCTGTGTCTCCTCCACAGGAACATTTGTAGTGAATGTGACTCAGACTTCCTATCAGGCAGAGGAGAACCAGAACATCACCCTGGAGTGGACCTTCAGCACCAGAAGAGAAACTTCCCTCAGATCCATTTCTACCATCTGTCAGCTGTTAACTGAGACCAGAACCTACTTCATGTTTCATCTCCATCAAGGTGTTGAATCCCCAGAGTCTCAGGATCCAGAGTTTGCAGGACGAGTCCAGTGGGACAAAGACGTCCTCACAGAAGGACGCCTCACACTTCATGTCTCCAGACTCAGGACCAATGACTCTGGGTTTTATGTGTGTGACATACTCGTCACACCTGGTGGGACTAACTCTAGGAGATGTTGGCTCAACGTCACTGGTGAGTAAACTCCATTCATCTTTGTTATAATGTTAAACTCTCAGTACGAGAACCTGAGAAATGTTGTAGATGTTTAGTTTTCTTTATCAGGGAAATGTCTTTGACACAGAGTTGTTTGGTGTTTTTACAGCAGCGACACATTGGAACAAACCTGAGACTCCAAACACAGGAAGACGGGGAAGGATTGGCCTCTACTCAGCGTTTGCACTGGTTTCTGTTCTACTTGCTCTATGTGTCTGTGTGCTTCTTAACTTCAGACGACAAGCAGCCAGTGAACAGGGTTCAGACTCAGCGAGTGGACCAACTGAAGCTCTTTGACACTATGTGTTACATTAATGCAAATCTATGAATATTGCACAGTCCTGCACAATACTGACTCTTTGAAATCGGCCACGGTCTGACACTTTACTTCGGGTATACTGTACATCTTATCTTTCTTTCATTAAGAGATCAACTAAAATGACCAAATGTGATTTCTGAGAGAGGCATTGAATCCCCAGAGTCTCAGGATCCAGAGTTTGCAGGACGAGTCCAGTGGGACAAAGACGTCCTCACAGAAGGACGCCTCACACTTCATGTCTCCAGACTCAGGACCAATGACTCTGGGTTTTATGTGTGTGACATACTCGTCACACCTGATGGGAGGAACTCTAGGAATTGCTGGCTCAACGTCACTGGTGAGTAACCTCAGTAGAAGTCTAGAGGCTCCAGAGAGCTAAATACTAATGCATCTACGTCAAGTATGTTGCCGCTAATATTGGATCATATTCATATCATATTATTGGAACAGTTAACATTTGGAAAAGGAAATAGCAGATACTCAACAAAGTATGAATGAAAGACCAAAAGAGTCCTGCTGCTCAAATCTCAAGAACGGCTTGTTTTAACTGTTTAAAATGTGCACAACTCATTTTAAAATAAAACTCTTCTCACAAACCAACTGTGATCCAAACCAGCCCCACACAGAACTCATTTTAGTGGAAAAGGGGAAACTGAGAAGCTGGAACCACAGGAGGTTTTTCAGAAGAATGAAGGTTGCAGATTGTCATGTTTTCACTCTAGATTAAACCTGTTATATATTAACACTAAAATGGTTCCTCATGTTATATTCTGTCCTTTTCCACAGCTGCTGAAGAGCTCCAACCTCAGAGACCAGAGAGTTGGACAGGTGTTTGGGTTACTGTTGGAGTGTCAGCAGCTGTTCTGGTTTTCTTTGTTGTCAGCATTTGGAAAGTTTGTATTCCTAGATATGAGAGAAGAACCCACAATGCAGTCATACAGATGGAGAGTTTATCAGAGAAACAAACCATCAGGACTTACATATCTCCGTCTGAATCTGAGCATAAAGTGAGACTCTCCAACATCTGATTTAAGAGTCAGAAAGGACCTCAGTGTAACCTCTGTAAAGTGTCATATTTATATGTATTTATTTCAGTCATTACTGTGAGTGTTATCATTCAGCTGTAAGGTCATCAAACCCTTTGTTTACTGATGGATATTGTTACCATGCTGCACTTAATGTCATTCTCAAATGTTACACATTATAAATACATCAATTTTATTTACTTTTTGACTTAAAAGTGACACAACCTGCATTGAATGTCCTACAGGAGGAAATATTTGGAAATGTCGTATTGGATCGACTTCAAAGTGTTAAAATGCTTTATTGCTAGTTATTATAATAAAGGTGTTTATTCTTTCACCCTATTGTTCGTCCTCATGTCTCTCTGCTTCATGAACACTGCAGCTGCCTTGAATTCCTGCCAAGTCTTGAAAGTGAAACTAAAAACACACGGACCAATCAGGAGGCAGTAAACTGAGGGGGGGTTTCTAATTTGCATGCATCAGGGAAAGGCGACCAATGGGAACCTTTGCTTTATTAATAAGAGTGGACCGCTGATATTGAACGACTGCAATCAGCCAATCAGAGAGAAGGAGATACACTGCCTGCTTATTGATCTGAACAGCTGTTTTCTAGATGTAACTTATATGGTAGTGCAGTTCAGGGACCAATCATTGAGGGATGCTGTGATTCCTGCTGTCTCCAGACTCATGAGATCTCTCCACTTTCCAAAGGTTTACAGGTAAGACCACATCTTTGTTCTCCTGTTAGAAACTAAGGAGCTAAAAGACACGCCTCAATGACCTCGTGGTTATGAATTAAAGTGCGACCAAAACGACTGGAAACATCCGGGGTATCCTATTGGTTAAACTACAAAAAATACATCTGGGGAAAATGCTTTTTACACAGTATTTTGTGGAGAAAGAGCTTCCAGTTTCATGAACAATACAGGACTACAGTTTTCATTATTAATGTCCCTGTTTCTGTCTGAAGGCTGATCCAATTAGCAACCACACCCTTCCTCTCCGTGACACAGCAAACATCGACTGCACTCAATAGAGGGGCAGATAACTATATTAGTAATTCTAAAATAAATAAATAATAATTCTAAAAACATAATAAATAGTACAAAAGATATTATAAATATGATGATTTAGTAAATAATATGAATTATAATAATAAATTACGAAGGATAAATTGTATATAAAAAAATGTAAGAAATAATAATAGTTCAGATTATTGAAAGATTATTATAAAAATAAATAATGATGATAATTATAGTACAAAATAATAACTATAATAAATACAAAGAAATTATAAAAATAATAATAGCAAAAATCCAATAATAATAGTAAATAATAAAAGAGATTATAATAATAACAGTCAAAGACAGACTGCTGTATTATATAATCAGAAATCAGACCTTTATTCGTCCCACAGAGGGGACATGTACATTGTTACAGCTAAAGTGAAAAAAAAGAGGTACAAATAAAACACTATGTTCTGATTCAGTTTAAAGAGACGATAATATTGATATCTGGCGCCACCTAGTGTCAGAAGTTCATTACTGTTCCTGGTGTCAGTCTGAAGTATTGTGATAATAACTACAGACAGACTGTATGTCTTCTAATGTGTGTGTGTGTGTGTGTGTGTGTGTGTGTGTGTGTGTGTGTGTGTGTGTGTGTGTGTGTGTGTGTGTCCTCTCAGGGAGAAGATGATCTTCCTCATCCTGCAGCTCCTCTTCCTCACCTCCTGTGTCTCTGGTTAGTTTGTCTCTTTAAAGCTGTTATATGTAAAGCAGCACAGGAACATAGCTGCAGTTTAAAGAGTCCCTCTGTGTCTCCTCCACAAGAACATAGCTGCAGTTTAAAGAGTCCCTCTGTGTCTCCTCCACAGAAACATAGCTGCAGTTTAAAGAGTCCCTCTGTGTCTCCTCCACAGGAACATAGCTGCAGTTTAAAGAGTCCCTCTGTGTCTCCTCCACAGGAACATAGCTGCAGTTTAAAGAGTCCCTCTGTGTTTCCTCCACAGAAAACATAGCTGCAGTTTAAAGAGTCCCTCTGTGTCTCCTCCACAGGAACATTGCTGCAGTTTAAAGAGTCCCTCTGTGTCTCCTCCACAGGAACATACCTGCAGTTTAAAAAGTCCCTCTGTGTTTCCTCCACAGAAACATAGCTGCAGTTTAAAGAGTCCCTCTGTGTCTCCTCCACAAAAACCAAGCTGCAGTTTAAAGAGTCCCTCTGTGTCTCCTCCACAGAAACATAGCTGCAGTTTAAAGAGTCCCTCTCTGTCTCCTCCACAGGAACATAGCTGCAGTTTAAAGAGTCCCTCTGTGTCTCCTCCACAGGAACATAGCTGCAGTTTTAAAGAGTCCCTCTGTGTTTCCTCCACAGAAACATAGCTGCAGTTTAAAGAGTCCCTCTGTGTCTCCTCCACAGGAACATAGCTGCAGTTTAAAGAGTCCCTCTGTGTCTCCTCCACAGAAACATAGCTGCAGTTTAAAGAGTCCCTCTGTTTCTCCTCCACAGGAACATTTGTAGTGAATGTGACTCAGACTTCCTATCAGGCAGAGGAGAACCAGAACATCACCCTGGAGTGGACCTTCAGCACCAGAAGAGACACTTCACTCAGATCCATTTCTACCTACTGTTTCCTTTATACTAATGACCGAACCTCAGTTCTGTTTGAACTACGTGAAGGTGTTGAATCCCCAGAGTCTCAGGATCCAGAGTTTGCAGGACGAGTCCAGTGGGACAAAGACGTCCTCACAGAAGGACGCCTCACACTTCATGTCTCCAGACTCAGGACCAGTGACTCTGGGTTTTATGTTTGTGACATATTCGTCAGACCTGATGGGACTAACTCTAGGAGATGCTGGCTGAATGTGACTGGTGAGTATTTAAATTAAAACTTTTTTAATATGCAGATGGTAGCTCTATGTGAAATGGTAAATAAACATGCAGGTCATTAAAATATCTGATACAGAATAGTCTGAAAGAGGTTTTCTCCCCGTCAACATGATGTTACTAACTGTGTATTTTCCACAGCTGCTGCTGAGCTCCAAACTCAGAGACCAACAGAGAGTCCACAAGAAGTGAGAGAGGGAAACATCTGGATCTACGTTGGACTGACACTGTTATTTGTTTGTTTTTTTGTAATTCTTTCTTTTTCCTTTTTTCATTATGTTCCTTCTTCGTTAAAAATGTATTATTTTATTGTTTCTTTATTTCTTTTTTCTTTGTCTCTTTATTTTTATTTTTTTTATTTCTTTGTTTCTTTGTCTTTAACACATTTTTATTCTCCTTTTGTTTCTCATATTGTTTCTTTGTTTGTTTCTTTGTTTGTTCTTTTTTTTGTTCCTGTTCTCTTTTATTGTTTTTATAGACTTTTTCTGCATAAAAATTTACACGTATCCTTTCAAGAGAAAGGGGACTGCCTTGTTCCTCGCTTGAGTTTAACGGGAGATGACACAAGTCCATTTCTTAGGATGTCAGCTTGTGGGTTGGAGTATAGGAGTCGTACGCAACTTAAAAATCTACTCCCAGTACAATTCCAGTCAAAGATCGTCTAAGATAAGTCTCAGAAAACTACGTTATAAGAAAAGATGCTTTGTAGGAAGAAATGAATGTTTGCATTAAATCTAGTTAGGTGGAGTCGAAGGAATTCAAGTGTTGCTAAAGTGCAGCTGAAGTTATGTAATATATGTTAATGTAGGAACAGGTGTAGAAAAAGTTTACTTTCTTTTTCCTCCATTATCCAAAATGTGGTTTGTAAAGAGTCAGGATTTTTGTATTTGGTGCGTTGATGCTTATCTTCAAGAGACATGTATTTTTGTATTATTTTTGTACAGTAGCAGCGATGATAAAGACTGATGTCTCTCACTGAATTTGATTGTTAAACCAAAACAAAAACCTAAGCACTTGTTGATTTAATGTAGGCCTTGTATCTGATTCACCAGCACTTCCTATGGTATGTTCTTGTTTGAAGTGAATATATCTGCACTTTCCTTGTTTGGAGTTTGATTCTTTACGGTTTTTGCACTTATTTTAAGTCGCTTTGGAAAAAAGCATCAGCTAAATAATATTTAATGTATGTACATATTAAGCTGTCTTTGTAACAATGTACATTTCCCCTCTCAGGGACTAATAAAGGGATTCTGATAATATTCATTTTGAGTTAAAATACTAATGTTACTTTTTGCTATTTTTGTTACAAGGTGTGTGCATATGTGTTTCCAAAGGTGGAGTTGTGTGTGTGTGTGTGTGTGCGTGTGTGTGTGTGTGTGTGTGTGTGTGTGTGTGTGTGTGTGTGTGTGTGTGTGTGTGTGTGTGTGTGTGTGTGTGTGTGTGTGTGTGTGTGTGTGTGTGTGTGTGTGTGTGTGTGTGTGTGTGTGTGTGTGTGTGTGTGTGTGCGCGCACCATGCTTCTCTGGTGCTCCTCAGGGCCTTCATCCTTTTGGGGTCCACCCCCACGTAGTCCATACAGTACGTGCACGCCCGCCTCGTGCACGCTCCTCATCAGACTGATCGCTGCCTCCTTCAGCCATGCAGCGTTTCTGGTTATAATTATTACAATAAATAATTTAATTCTTGGTGTATTTATATGTTGATGCAAACTGTAAAAGGATGGTTGGATATTTTTTATTTATGTAAACTGTCCCTGTTAAATAATACATATTTAATCAAAATGTAATATATTTTTTACAATATTATTTACATTTTATATTAATTAGGAAATAAACTATTAATAACAATTAAATTAAATAAAAAAGGAAATTAATTAAATAATATAAAAATTAAATAAATTGAATAAATAATATAAAAACTAACTTCCACAATTGTTACTCTTTGTACTTCATTTGACTCAAGAACGTATAAAAAGGTGTCTTCTTTCCAATAATGTGTCTGTGGAATCAAAGGGACGTACACATGCAGAGCTGTGAGCCTCGCAGTAACAGGAGTACCAACTAACGTATATTCATTAATAGCAGAGATTTCAGAAGAGAATTCAACTTTGATCTACTGATTGATACTCCACTCAGGGCCGGCCCTGACTGCAGCTATGTTTCTGTGGAGGAGACACAGAGGGACTCTTTAAACTGCAGCTATGTTTCTGTGGAGGAGACACAGAGGGACTCTTTAAACTGCAGCTATGTTTCTGTGGAGGAGACACAGAGGGACTCTTTAAACTGCAGCTACGTTCCTGTGGAGGAGACACAGAGGGACTCTTTAAACTGCAGCTATGTTTCTGTGGAGGAGACACAGAGGGACTCTTTAAACTGCAGCTACGTTCCTGTGGAAGAGACACAGAGGGACTCTTTAAACTGCAGCTACGTTCCTATGGAGGAGACACAGAGGGACTCTTTAAACTGCAGCTACGTTCCTATGGAGGAGACACAGAGGGACTCTTTAAACTGCAGCTATGTTCCTGTGAAGCTTTACTGAAGCTCTCATCAGGACTAACGCTTCCTTCAGTAACATTGTGCTCTTATTTATAGCAAAGCTGCAGGCTGGGAAACAAAAGGTACAGAAGAATATTAGGGCCATGCTTTGTTACATTATTTAATAAACATTTAGCTTTCTTCACAAAATGCTAAATACAATAAAAGTGTTACTCCTCTGTGTTTGTTCTCTTGTATGAATGCCTAGCACTAAACCTCTTCTGACAAAAGGGCTCAAAGATGCTGCTCTGTGAAGAAAAGAGAAACTAAAGGTTTTCTTTAGTCTTAGGGGGAAATAAAGGAGTAAACTAACCAGAGACACAGGGGGTGAGGAAGAGGAGCAGCAGGATGAGGAAGATCATCTTTTCCGGGTGAGAGGACACACACACACACACACACACACACACACACACAATTAGAAAATGACAGTCTGTCTTGACCACAGCATTTATTAAAGAGCAATCAGAGGACAGTAATCGTCGGACACTAGGTGGCGCCAGATATTAACATTGTATTATATTTCCTTTTAACTGAACCAGGACCCACACCACTGTCGATTACCCCAACAACAAAATGACGTGATGTCGTGCGTCCGCTGCGTCGGCCGACATGTTTTTTTTTCAAGCCTCTTTAGCGGCTCCGTAGAACCAGAATCAGAATGGGTTTTATTACAAAGTAGGTTTACACATACGAGGAGTGTGCTTTGGTTTATGTGGTGCATACAGATCCACAGAAAGAAGAATACATAGTAAACAGGACTGTTGTGGGAGACGTGACTGACAGAAACATTTACAAATAAAGTATATTTTATATACACATTAACAATAGAAGCATATATTTGATACAATATAAAAAAATACACAACGTCGAAGTATACAGAATTATTTAGAAAACCCTATAATTACAAACCCACTACTGAAAACAGCATGTAAACATTATGAAGTGTGCAAAGTAGCTGCAGTTTTAAATACAATCTGAAATGCAGTGAGCACAAGCCTGAGAAAACACTTTAATAGACTAACATACTATAGACCAGGGGTTTTCAAAGTGTGGGAAGGTGAGCCTCCCCTCAGAGAACATAAGAACAGCCGCGCCCCCCCCCCTCCCAATTATTATTGCTATTATTATTATTATCATTGTTGTTGTTGCTATAATGCAGGGGTATTCAATTGCATTTCAAAGAGGTCCAGTAAGATAAAATGAAGACTGTTTCTCTCTCCTTGTCTCGTCTCTGTTGCCCCTTTCACACCGGCGCTTTTCCAGCTCCTGCTGGGAGCTAGAGCCTGAAAAGCGCCGGTTTTTCCTGTTCACACCGCAGCGGCGGCGCGTCATAGCTCCGGAATGCGGTTCACTTCCAGCTCCAAAAGGTTGTCGGTCCAGAGGCAAGAGCTTTGGAGCTATGACGCGGCGTCGCTTACGTCGAGGCGTGCAGGAAACCTTACTTTGACCATCCGTTCGCTGTTATTGATCATTGTGGAGAGCAGGCAGACGTTTTGTTTGTTATTATAGCAGCTATCGGATGGAATTAATACATGGGCTGTACAGGTTGTCATGTCCGACTATCACAAGTAGAATCATAATGAAAAATACGTCGGTAAAATGTGCCTGGAGAAAACGGCTTAGCAAGTAGTCCGTTTAGCTTCGGTTGCTATGCTAACATCACCCATGTTATACCAGAGAAACTTTCATAACAGCGTTGTGATGCCAAACAGCGTCAATTCAGACTGACACACATTCACTTAAGGGGAACTGGGGATATGTATCAGCTGCTTGTGTGACAGTCAGACAGTGAATACTTTAGAGCCGTGTGAGCTAACGGGAGAATAAACTCCCGTTGAAGAGCAGCCAGCACTGTAGCGGTCGGTAAATGCCGCTGAAACACATTAATAAACAATGAACCACGGCACTCTGGAGAAAAGTATAAGGTTGGAGAAGTCGTTATTTAATTTAATCTGGCTTCGTATGATTAAAAGCAACACGATCGTCGACCCGACGCAGTCCCCGGCCCGTTGTTGTTGTGGGAGAAAATCTCTCGGCAGCTCTGGGCGGTGTGAACAGAGCGGGAGCTGAAAAGGGAAACCGGAGCTGAACCAGAAAAGCTCTCGCTAGGAGCTAGAAAGGGAAAAGCGCTGGTGTGAAAGCCGCATGTGTGTGTGTTTGAATCTATCGTGCTGACTCACTGACTGCACCGATTTGATTGGCTGAGTAGCGTCACCTCCTTAAAACATTAAACAATAACTTTTTAAAACCTTTTTATCTTTATGTTTTAAACATATTGTATAAAACTCCTCCACTACTTGGACTATTCCTTGCACCCCTCTAGAATAAGCCCAAATGGTCTCAACCATATTGCATCAGTAATAACGTGCACTTTGTTGTTATCGTTATAACAAGATCGCAAGGACAGTGGTAGCGATCGGACAATTGAGTGTTGTTCAGTTTGTGTGTTGTGGAACATGCGTGTCCGTGCATGAAAATATACCACACACCCAATTACAATAGCATGTTCAATTCACTACCCTGGAAGTTAATAAAGTTGTTAAAGTTGGAACAGCCTGTGGACAGCCGTTCTTCCTTGCATGTCAGTCGCCGACACCTTCTTACAGAGGACAGGCAAATCTAGCTGCAGCACGACCCGTATATTTTCGCACGCCGTGTTCTCAACACATATTTTTAAAACATTTTTAACATTTTCAACATCGTGGATAAATCCTTATATGTTCCCGGCAACACACTGAACGTCAATTTTGCCTCCTTATTACACTCATCCCTACTTTAGTGGGAACAATGAGTCTGCGTCTTTGATGCACACAGGAATAAACGCAGATCATACTCTGCACTTGATTTTGATCAAAGTCCATGCGGAAACCCGCACTCACACAGGTAGGTGGAGATGAAGGGAATGAGCACTTTTACAGCCTTTTTGGCGAAGTGGGGGAACTCGGTCTCCACAGACAGCCAAAAGTGGGCAAGTGTCACTTTTCTCATCTTTTCTCGTTATTTTTTTTCTCACGCTGCGCCTCCCCTGAAGCTCTCTGGCGCCCCCCAGGGGAGGCGCGCCTCACACTTTGAAAACCGCTGCTATAGACTATAGACCGGATATAAAGTGTGCAAAGTAGCTGCAGTTTGAAATGTAAGCCTGAGTATAACATGTACACATTGTTCAGGGTTATTGAAGAGAGAACAACAGAGGGACATCTGGTTACAAAAGAAACTATAGTGCTAAATACTTAAACTTTAATATATCCATTCATTACCTTGGATGTCTTCAGTCACAGAGTTTTCCATTCAGTCGCTTCCTTCAGCTGAAGCAGTACTGACATTGCATGGACTTTATTGAGTGGGAAGGAAGTGGAGCTGAGGATTTCACAACACTCTCCTAACCCAGCGACAATTTTCTAACCACATCATGCGTACATGAGCACAGACTCAGATTATCATGCTGTCACACTGTATGCATTTGCATTAGTCGCTTCATGTTTGTAGATCCCTATTACCAGTCGCGGCTGGTGGAAAATATTTTAGGTGGGGCTGTGGAAATGGTGACCAAACAATACTAGGGGAGAACGGGGGACGCCCCCCCGGTAAAGATTTTTGAGAAAAGACCCCTGACTTCTGGTGATGTTAGAGGGGGGGGGGTGGGGGTGGAAGGACAAATTGAGGCTTACAAATATGAGAAGACTGATCAATACCTCCATAATCTTCAGTGTGGTTAGCTATGAATCTTCCAAAACTTCCAAACACCTTGTCCTGGACATAGTTTCTACAGCATAAACTGTGCAACAGTACAGTAGGGGCTTTGGGAACACTCAAAATTACTTAAAATGATTTAATTCCCATTTAACCTGTTAAGGGGCTTTTTCCCCCCGTTTTTTTTCTCACGAAACTGTGTCTCAGGGCTTCTTAAAATGTAAAAAAACATTCATGTGTCCTACTCAGAGGAAACGCAGCTAACTAAATGAGCCCTGAAAGAAAAAATGCTAACGCACTCTAGGTATAAATCAATCGATATACTTATCGGATATGCACAAACAAGCTTATGCTAACAAGCTGAGATTCCACAGATTCTAGAAATATAAGTATCATCACTGAGCGATCAGAACTCGCGAGTTTAAAGATAGCAACAGTTGGCTTCTGCTTCACTTGCTGCACTCTCGTCTGGGCGCTGTGCATAGCGCCCAGACGAGAGTGGGTACGGGCAAGGCCAGGCAGGAAACATGTGACTTATCAGTAACTTTAGACATCGTAACACAATTTTAAACGAGATTTTATTGTAGATTATACATTTTACTGATACCAATTATATAATATTTACCTTGTTAATTAAAAAAAAATAAAAAATAAAAAAATATATATATATATTTTTAATGTGGGAAGAGGGGGGGCGGCGCCCCTATGGGCCGGCCGCCACTGCTTATTCTTTATATACGTGTTACACGTTATTTAAACCACTGGTTTACAGGGTGTCTGGGGACTTTATCTCCTCCCCTACAGCCTGAACTATACTCATACTATATATACTGCAAAGTGAATGCTGCACAGGATACTCAGACCACAGAAAACCGACAGCAGGAACACTCCCTTCTCTGATTCTGCATCAAGACAGCCTCGTTGAAACACCAACTATAGCTTCATCGGACATATTCACCATGACATCTAGAAAACACAACTGTCAGCACTGAGGTCTCTACAGTCTCAAATATTTACAGGTAAGAACACATGTTTATACTTTATTGAGGAAATGTCTCTTACTGCTGCTTTCTGTTTCTCTCCTGTTGAACCTCTTATAGAGAAAGGCACCACATTAAACTAAAATAAGAGAACGAGTTGGAAAGAAACAGCTCGCAGCGGCGAAACCGTGCCGCGCCACACTAATTGCGCCTCATAAACGCATAGTTGAGGCTCCCTCCGCAAGATGAGGCCCCACGCAGTCTGCGTGATCTTCCAGGGACGGCCCTGTTTATTCTCTGCCCTTATAGTCCGCTATTGGCTATTCTATATGCACGCTGAAGGCTCTTTGAGCAGCTTTTCTCTCACTGATTGTGCTGTTATGTTAAATGTTTGTTGTTTGTGTTTCATGTATTTTTTGACTTGATCTGACAAATAAAGTAATATCGTATCGTATCGTATATGTTGTCCCTCTCGATTTTTTGTGATTTTTGCGGTTTTCTTAATGGTAATTTTCAGACTTCTGTGAGTCGGACTCGTTTAGTGGTAGCTCATGTAGACTTGACTCTTGTGGTTAAACTTTTCGCTCCGTATTTTGATGGTTGGGGTGTAGAATCCTGGATTTTGCATTCATTCGTCACTTCTTTTTCAGTGCTTTTTTATTTAATATATGTTTTTATTTAAAGGTCCCATGTCATGGCCATTTCTACTGATCATAATTCCTTTGTTGAGGTCTACTAGAATAGATTTACATTGTTCAATGTTCCAAACTCACATTGGTTTCTCATACAGCATGTATAGTATGTGTATTCACTCTCTGTCCTAAACGGCTTGTTGGAGCTCCTGCAGACCGTTTACATGCAGAAAAACCTTCATAACACAAGGGGACGGGTAATAACCAGAAAGCATGACATGGGACCTTTAAGATTTATTGTTTAATTGTACATATTTGTCATGTAATAATCAAAATATATGTTTACAAATGTTATAGTCTTTGTCAGCATCTTTTGAATTATAAATATTTCTCTTTTACCGTTTTGTGTTAATTATTAGGGTCTAAATGAGCTAATGGATTTTTACATCAAGTGCTTGAGGGTGGGATTAATAGAAACATTTTTCTTTGGGGGGATGCTTTGTATGGCAGGCCTACAGTATAGTTGCAGAAACAGCATGTGAAACCCGTGTGAAAATAACCACAGAGAGCTGAAGTCAACATATGCTCAGTCTTTACTTCTGCTCTTGTGATAAAGGACAGGTCAGCTAGGACACATCTTCTTTCTCCCTTGCAAAGTGTCACACTGTGGGAAGTCATATTGTCCTGATGGCATTTTTAAAAGTCTTCACTGACACTGAGAGCAGTGGACTTGAGCCAACAAGGAGAGCCATACGCTGCAAAAACTGTATTTGCATGGGGAGTCGTAACAGTTAAACAAACAACTCATATTCATTTCAACATAGAGAAGTTATAGTAAACATAAACTGCTATTATATTGTTTGCTATATTGATACCTTAGACCAGGGGTGTCAAACTCAAGGCCCGGGGGCCACATGCGGCACGCAAAACATTTTGAATCGGCCCTCACTCAATTAAAAAAGTATAACGACTTAAGTATAATAAACTTCTGCTTGTCTTATATTGTACTTCTTAAATATATGTGTTCAAATATGTTACACAGTATTCATGTGTTAATAAGCCACATTTTCAAATAAATGCAGTCATTTAAAGTTGAAAACATGTTCTAACAAATCTAAGTTGATAAGAAAAAAGCCCAATAACAAATATACATAACAACCTTGAAATAAACCTTTCATATTTCCTCTTATTATAAGAAATCTGAGGCTTCTGTTTTAAGAAATGAGCAGCTAACAAACTAAATGAAACCCTCTGGAGAGCTGGGAGCTGTTTTTTTCTTAAGGCATTTTCAAGAATAATTTACTTACATTTGAATGATTTTGCTATAACTGAACTTATGAGGCAATATTCCTCGAGTGAGTGGCCCAGCACTAAGAATATCTTTCTGTATGTGGCCCTCGTGAAAAAAGGTTGGACCCCCCTGCCTTAGACTGTATCCTACATTACCCTTTTTATTTTTGGTTAGATGGTAATGAGAGTGAACTGAATTCAAACGGAAGAAGAGAAGAATCACTATTGAATGATATCAACATTAAATCAGCTGCATATCTGTGATCTTCTTTTATATTTAAAAACATATCACACATAACGTTGAGGTACTTGTACATTTCTTGAGTATTTCCATGTTATGCTACTACTCAACTGCTTTGAAAAGGGAAATAATGTAATGTCTTTCCTCTACATTTATTTAACAGCTTTAGCTATTCTTTTAACAAAATGCTTCTCTTAAAATTAAACTAGTGCACTAACTCAGTAAGTCAGAAAAAAGTCAAAGATTTAATTATTTTACAAAAAGTAAATCAGCACTTTGTCTCCAACAGTAAAATGATTCTTGATAGACATGTCATATATAAATATCATTACACATAAAGGACCTTCTCTGCACAATGATTACTTTTTATACTTTAAGTACATTTAGCTGATAATACTTTTGTATTTTGACTGCAGTTCAGTTTGACTCTTTCTGACTTTAAGAAAGAGCAACTATTTTACACTGTGTGAAAAGTCGTATTGAAAAAACAACACATTGCGGGAAAAAAAGTCTCATGACTCATACGTGTTTTTTTAAGCTAAAATCAGGTTTGAGTAAAATTGTTGAAATTCTGTCCCGATTCCAATACTCACACTTCCTCTGTGGCAATCAACATGATTCTCTCTTATGTAAAGTGGAGAGAGAAACTCCAATCTGCCCACCGGGGTTTCATTACAGCATCTATCGGGAGAACAATTATGAGTTTACATTCTCCACGTAGAGAAGCTGACAACTCAGCATGACTCTGAAATCTCTTTCCTTCACGAAGCACACATTGAACTTTATATTTATCCACCAACAAAAGGTCACCCTTGATTTGTAAAGTCCTTTTTGGCATTATGGTATTTCAATTGATAACAAAGCGTTAATTAAATATGTTTTTAGTTTCTCTTTTGTGTCTCATGCGATTCAGTAAGTTTGTCTTGAACAACGTTTCAACATCTTTCCAACTCGTTCTCTTATCTTGGTTTAATGTGGTGCCTGTTCTCCATTAGAGGTTCAACAGGAGGAGACGGTTCAGGAGAGAAAGTCCTCAGACACACCCTGTAAACCAGTGGTTTAAATAACGTTCAACACGTATCTTAGTTAAAGAATAAGAAGAAGGATCAATGACCTTACAGCCAAATGATGAAACTCAGTGACTGAAATAAATAAATATAGATATAACACTTTACAGATGTTACATGGGGGATGTATGGAGTCTCATCTACTGATGTGACTGATAGATGTCATGTTTCTATCTCATTGGCCTCAGAGCTGTCTGTCTGCAGGAGGCCCTTATTAAAAACCTGCTGCTTTCTGTCTGATTAGTGGTTAGTGCAGAAGTCCCATCAATTGCACCTGGCAATGCTGCTTCTAGCTGTCAGTGCTTAGATGTTATCAAGCTGAAAAAATGAATGCAGAATTCCAACATACTGTCATCAAATGTCTTTCTGTTATGAATTTAAATTGTCCTTTTGAAACTTGTCTTGTGTTCATTTCTATCTCCATCATGACCTAAAAATAAAGTCTATGGCTTTTACTTCTAATTATTTACCAGGCTAGAGACAAGATGTTGTAAGAAATCCACATTACAAAATGGTTTCATTATCACAGGTCAACTTCTTTGGTATTCCCCTTCTGGACTTACATCTCTCACAGAAGCCCCTTGGCCACTGCTTCTGCATCTGTGTTACCTGTTATAATTCAATCACTATTTAGAAACATGTCAACATTCATCAAACAGTATCTTATCCCCAGACATGGAGCGGGTTCATTCTAAAACCATCATTCAATGCTCAGTTTGAACATCTGCGTTGGGGCGGCAGGTTTCTTTCAATCCCTAAATGAAACATTTAGATTGTGAATTTGACAGCCATGTTGACATTATACATTATACACACTCGCGTCTATGTTGTTACACATGAACTCATGTGTAACAACATCTTGTATGGGGAGAAAACCTTTATTTAAATAATTGGACTCTTTTGTAACTTAAAGAGTTAGTCAACTGTTTTTAGAGATGCATTTTGTTCCAAGAAGCTAAAGCTGTTAAGTAAATGTATTGGAGTGGAGGTATAAAGTAGCATACAATGGAAATACTCAAGTAAAGTACAAGTACTTCACATTTGTGCAGTTACTTTCCACCTCTGTGTGATCAGTCACAGCAGGAGAGTCAGTAAGCAGTCTGCACTGATCTATGACACCATGACGTCCCTCATCAGGTGAAGCAGGAGAAGCAGAAACACTGAACCTGCGTCTCTGAGATGTGCCAGAACAATAAACACAGCTTGTTATGAACAACAGGTGAGCTATCTTTAGATCTGATAACAATCAGCTGCAGTTGTTAATCACGGTGAAATCTACACACTCAGAGGCTCGGTTATACTTTAATCAAAACCTGTCTTGGTGATGATGGTGAAGCCGTTCTGTTTCTCTCTCTCTGTGGATCTAAAAGGAAAGAAGCTCCTTACAGCATTCCTGATATACAGCCAATGTTAGTTGTCACTCAGTTGCATGTTACTGCTGTAGATGTGTTCAACTCCTTTAAATAATATTAGCAATTTTCATACACATTTTTTTGAGAAATCATAATCACGATTATTTGGGTCATTAATTGATATCACGATTATTAAATACGATTATTCATTGACTTTGAAAAAATCCATTTATTGAACTTTAAAACAAATACAAATAATAATTTGAACAGTATCTTTTTAACTGTTGATTACCCTGAACGTATAATTCAACTGAAAAACTAAAATAAATGATACATTTAAATAAATAATATCAAAATAATAAATACCAATAAACAAGATCAACAAATATTTTGGAGCGCACTTCCCCAAGCTACTAAACATATATAAATATGATAAATACAAATAAATGAGACCAAAATAAATGAGATCAAATATGTTGCAGTGCACTGTCACAACCTAGCAAAGCAAAATAATTATGATTATGTTGTTTTCATAATTGTGGCAGGCCAAAATCGTAATTGCGATTAAAATACGATTAATTGCACAGCCCTAAAGCAGAGTGCCTTTTTTTTTGTCTTGCTACTGAGAAACTTTTCTTTCTAAAGGGAGGGAGCAGGTGGCATTATTTACATGTTCCTCTTTACCAGATGAAGGGTAACCTCAGGGTCAGTCTCCACATGTTTCAGCGTTTCCTCACAGCAAGTAAAGGACTGACCTGAACTGTTAAACCAAATGTTTGTGATCATTCAGTAGTGCAGCTACTGAGATAACTCAATGCAGTTCAGCATCTAACCAGAGCAAATATAGGTTACATATGTCTATGCTAATAAGATACAGTAGACAGTAAGGGAAGATATCTGCAGGACAGTTTCAGCAGTACTAATGTTCCACTTCTCTCAGTAAATGAATGGTTTCATTATTTTATTCCAGAATGGAGCAACTGTTAGGAATTCCCTCAGGGGAAGGATAACGTTTTTCTGACAAGTCTTTGCACTAAGCATTTCATTGGTTCTGTTGATAAACTGTTACAAAAATCGTAATATCTTCACAAAAACAGACCGTGTTTTTTGTGTAATCTGCAAGACTCAAACTCAAAAGCTGTCTCACAAAAGTGTGTGCAGTAACAACTTAACCAAACATACTGACTTTCACCTTCAATACGAAAACCACATATCTGAAAAACTGGAGTCAGTGTCAGTCACGAACAGACCCTTCACGGTGTTTGTGACTCACTGCAGGTCTCTACCTGTTGCTGGATCCTCTCTCTCTCTGCAGGAAACAGAAGAACTTTATCAGCACAGAAAGTGGAACTGTGGATTTACTAAATCAAGTTTAGTGCTTTAATAGTGCTATGTTCATCTGAGTTATCTCATTAATAAATGTATTTGTTGACTTTGAAACCGTAGCCTTTCATTCTTGGACATAGCAGTTTATCAAACTGATTTATAAACGAGGGTCTTACAGTCCACTACTCAGACAGAAAGCAGCAGGTTTTTAATAAGGGCCTCCAGCAGACAGACAGCTCTGAGGCCAATGAGATAGAAACATGACATCTATCAGTCACATCAGTAAATGAGACTCCATACATCCCCCATGTAACATCTGTAAAGTGTTATATCTATATTTATTTATTTCAGTCACTGTGAGTTTCATCATTTGGCTGTAAGGTCATTGATCCTTCTTCTTCTTCTTTAACTAAGATACGTGTTGAACGTTATTTAAACCACTGGTTTACAGGGTGTGTCTGAGGACTTTCTCTCCTCCCCTCAGCCTGAACTACGCCTACTCAAAGTGAATGCTTCACACCAGGACGGGATGTGTACATACTCAGAAGAACCACAGAAAATCGACAGCAGGAACACTCCTTTCACAGATTCAGTATTGAGAATGATAGTTTCTTTGAAACACCAACTATAGCTTCATCGGACATATTCACCATGATATCTAGAAAACAGAGCTGTCAGCACTGAGGTCTCTGCAGTCGGTAAGAACACATATTTCTACTTTATTAAGGAAATGTCTCTTACTGCTGCTTTCTGTTGCTCTCCTGTTGAACCTCTTATAAGAGAACAGGCAGCACATTAAACTAAAATAAGAGAACGAGTTGGAAAGATATTGACTCAGAAACCTTGTTCAAACACAAAATGTGCCTTTCTGTAAATAAGAGAACGAGCTCTGCCTAATGTCTGAATCACATGAGACCAAAAGATAAACAAAAAACATGTGTAATTAACGCCTTGTTATACATTTAAATGCCAAAAAGGACTTTACAAATTAAGGGTGACCTTTTTTGTTGTTGTTGGATAAACAACTATAAACTTGGATGTGTGCTTTGTGAGGGGAAAACATTTCAGAGCCATGTGTGAAGGCTGTTGTCTCAAATGACCAAATCCTCTCCGACACACTCCGACCATGTAACTACAGCAGAGAGGACAGAAACAGGAACTGTCCTAACTTTGTGACTAACGGATATAACCTCCGGTTTAATCTGCTTTTGCTGCAGTTTCTGTGTGTGCACAAAACTAATACACTCTGCTACACACCGGTATATGTGATCATAAAGAAATGTATAAAAATACTACTTCATTTTCAGGTTATTCTCATGCGACTATCTGAATTGTCTATTTTAGTTCAACAGTTTACAGTTTGAAGAATAATATGCGCATTGAATATATTCATACAAATGTAAGTAACTTAAAGGTTACATTATATTATTATTATTTAAGCAAACATTGGTTCCAATTTTTATATCATGAGCACGAATAGCATTTTTAATTCAGATTTTAAAATATGAGAAGAGGTTTATAAAACAAGACATGCCACTTATAGGGAGACCAGGGACAGTTGCAACACTTTTTGGGCTTTTCCCCAATAAGTAAAAAAACATTTACAATAGGATAGCCATTTTGCTATATTATACATTATCAATATGTCAGCTACTGAAACAATGTATTTAATATGTTTTTATGAAATAAGTACAGGTTGGAAAATGTATTAAAAACATGTTGTAACATGTTAATAACGGTTACCTTTTTTCACACTACATGACAACAAAGAGGGAAAGCTGTCAAATTCTAAGGCAACAAGATTTGAATGGGGTTTCACACATCCTCCAACAAACAATGAACAATGAACAGGATAACAGATAACACACAGCATCATCCTCTGTGAAGGATTAAACTGTTCTCTAAGAGGTGCTTCTACCTTAATTATGTAGACCTACCTCCTTTGAGCTGAGACCATAGTATAAATCAGCTGCCTCCATCAGATAGTCTCTCAAAAGCATCTCCTGCTCTGTTGAGAACACCTTCTTTGGTGTCCAGTAGCCTACTCTTGGGGGTGTTTGTGATCCCTGACTCTCCAACCTCAGCCTCTTTGTATGGAACCGGTACAGGGTGACATGGCATATATCCAGGGACTTTGCCACTTCCCTGAATGATTTGCCCTTCTCAACTTCATTTGAGGCCCTCTGCAGCAGAGCGAGTGGCACTCCCCTGTCTGTCTTCCTCTTTCTGACATTTGACATACTGTAAACACACACACACACTTTAGGCCTACAGTATTTTATTCTGTTTATTTTTACAGGGACAATGCACCAATCAACAATACAACTGTATGCTTGAATGAACAATTGATCATTCAAGCAAATGAGCCATCATTGTCAATGTGCCATGTTACAACCGTCCCGTTACAACCGTCCCAGGACCACCAGTCTTGCTTTCACCCCCTGTGAACCTGCCTGATTGCTAGCTTGACCCATATTCAGTTATATTTGTAGCTTACAAAACAGTGATTCTAATAATACTAGTTTGGATTCCTAGACATTTGAACTCAAGACAGTATCCAAAAAATACATCATATAATTGTAGTTAATATTTTACCTCAGCGATCTGACCATCTATCTGCACATGTGCCGAGTGAGTTTCATCACTCTAGCTTGTTTGTGATTGGAGATATTGAAGGTGTTACAACCGACCCGTGTTGCAACTGTCCCTGGTCTCCCTACTATAATTGTTCTGAATGCAAAAGCTGTCTCTTTCTCACATTCACTATTATAATAACAATAATAACAATAGGGTCCTAGCGCTACGTGCTCGGGCCCTAATTATTTGTATTATTATTATTGTTATTGTTCAGAGAGATTCTGAAACAAAACTGAAGGGGTTCAGTGGGTCCTGTATTTCAGTCTGTGTTCACTGATCTCAAAGCAGAAAGTATTTCCTGATTCAGTTCAAAGAAAATATAATGTGGATATCTGGCGCCACCTAGTGACAGACATATGTTACTGTTCCTGGTGTCAGTCCTCTGTGTACTAAGTAATGTGGTAAAGACAGACTGTGTGTGTGTGTGTGTGTGTGTGTGTGTGTGTGTGTGTGTGTGTGTGTGTGTGTGTGTGTGTGTGTGTGTGTGTGTGTGTGTGTGTGTGTGTGTGTGTGTGTGTGTGTGTGTGTGTGTGTGTGTGTGTGTGTGTGTGTGTGTGTGTGTGTGTGTGTGTGTGTGTGTGTGTGTGTGTGTGTGTGTGTGTGTGTGTGTGTGTGTGTGTGTGTGTGTGTGTGTCCTCTCACAGGGAGAAGATGATCTTCCTCATCCTGCTGCTCCTCTTCCTCACCCCCTGTGTCTCTGGTTAGTTTACTCCTTTATTTCCCACTCAGACACATTGAATATTGTTGAAAACTTTTTGTGTCACGTTTTACCTTTTCACAAAGAAGCATCTTAGAGCTCTTTGGTATGGAACACTATTAGTGCAAGGCAAGAGGGTCAACACTGAGGAGGGGGATTCTGATTTATTTAGCTTTTTTAAAATGTCAAGAAGTGGAGCTTTCAGTATATTCTCTAACAGAAGTAGTTTGTTCTTTAAAGTTCAATGTTTATTCTTAATAATTAAACTTTAAAAGTGCCGAACTGTTTTTTCTGATACATTTTTCCTAATGCCTGCACTCAAATTGAAAGATTGATATTTTACTCGACATCTTGGCTTTTTTCTTAACATGCTAAATAAAAAAGTAAAATAGTCCCTTTCTTCTTTATTTCCCTCATACCCTAATACTCTTCCTCACCTGAGGAGACCTCTGTCTCTGGTTAGCTTCAGTTAGTCTCTTTAAAGCTGTTCTCAGTAACGCAGCACAGAAACATAGCTGCAGTTTAAAGAGTCCCTCTGTGTCTCCTCCACAGCAACAGAGCTGCAGTGTAAAGAGTCCCTCTGTGTCTCCTCCACAGCAACATGGCTGCAGTTTAAAGAGTCCCTCTGTGTCTCCTCCACAGCAATATGGCTGCAGTTTAAAGAGTCCCTCTGTGTCTCGTCCACAGAAACATAGCTGCAGTTTTAAAGAGTCCCTCTGTGTTTCCTCCACAGAAACATAGCTGCAGTTTAAAGAGTCCCTCTGTGTCTCCTCCACAGGAACATAGCTGCAGTTTAAAGAGTCCCTCTGTGTCTCCTCCACAGAAACATAGCTGCAGTTTAAAGAGTCCCTCTGTTTCTCCTCCACAGGAACATTTGTAGTGAATGTGACTCAGGCTTCCTATCAGGCAGAGGAGAACCAGAACATCACCCTGGAGTGGACCTTCAGCACCAGAAGAGACACTTCCCTCAGATCCATTTCTACCTACTGTTTCCTTTATACTAATGACCGAACCTCAGTTCTGTTTGAACTACGTGAAGGTGTTGAATCCCCAGAGTCTCAGGATCCAGAGTTTTCAGGACGAGTCCAGTGGGACAAAGACGTCCTCACAGAAGGACGCCTCACACTTCATGTCTCCAGACTCAGGACCAGTGACTCTGGGTTTTATCGGTGTGACATACTCGTCACACCTGATGGGACTAACTCTAGGAGATGCTGGCTCAACGTCACTGGTGAGTATTTAAATTAAAACATTTTAAATATGTAGATGGTAGCTCTATGTGAAATGGTAAATAAACATGCAGGTTATTAAAATATCTGATACAGAATAGTCTGAAAGAGGTTTTCTCCCCGTCAACATGATGTTACTAACTGTGTATTTTCCACAGCTGCTGCTGAGCTCCAAACTCAGAGACCAACAGAGAGTCCACAACCAGAGAGTCCACAACCAGAGAGACGGAGAGACATCTCAGAGAGAGACTTCTGGATCTACGTTGGACTGATACTGTTATTTGTTTGTTTTTTTGTAATTCTTTCTTTTTCCTTTTTTCATTATGTTCCTTCTTCGTTAAAAATGTATTATTTTATTGTTTCTTTATTTCTTTTTTCTTTGTCTCTTTATTTTTCTTTTTTTTATTTCTTTGTTTCTTTGTCTTTAACACATTTTTATTCTCCTTTTGTTTCTCATATTGTTTCTTTGTTTGTTTCTTTGTTTGTTCTTTTTTTTGTTCCTGTTCTCTTTTATTGTTTTTATAGACTTTTTCTGCATAAAACACGTATCCTTTCAAGAGAAAGGGGACTGCCTTGTTCCTCGCTTGAGTTTAACGGGAGATGACACAAGTCCATTTGTTAGGATGTCAGCTTGTGGGTTGGAGTATAGGAGTCGTACGCAACTTACAAATCTACACCCAGTACAATTCCAGTCAAAGATCGTCTAAGATAAGTCTCAGAAAACTACGTTAGAAGAAAAGATGCTTTGCAGGAAGAAATGAATGTTTGCATTAAATCTAGTTAGGTGGAGTCGAAGGAATTCAAGTGTAGCTAAATTGCAGCTGAAGTTATGTAAAATATGTTAATGTAGGAACAGGTGTAGAAAAAGTTTACTTTCTTTTTCCTCCATTATCCAAAATGTGGTTTGTAAAGAGTCAGGATTTTTGTATTTGGTGCGTTGATGCTTATCTTCAAGAGACATGTATTTTTGTATTATTTTTGTACAGTAGCAGCGATGATAAAGACTGATGTCTCTCACTGAATTTGATTGTTAAACCAAAACAAAAAACTAAGCACTTGTTGATTTAATGTAGGCCTTGTATCTGATTCACCAGCACTTCCTATGGTATGTTCTTGTTTGAAGTGAATATATCTGCTCTTTCCTTGTTGTTTGGAGTTTGATTCTTTATGGTTTTTGCACTTATTTTAAGTCGCTTTGGAAAAAAGCATCAGCTAAATAATATTTAATGTATGTACATATTAAGCTGTCTTTGTAACAATGTACATTTCCCCTCTCTGGGACTAATAAAGGGATTCTGATAATATTCATTTTGAGTTAAAATACTAATGTTACTTTTTGCTATTTTTGTTACAAGGTGTGTGCATATGTGTTTCCAAAGGTGGAGTTGTGTGTGTGTGTGTGTGTGCGTGTGTGTGTGTGTGTGTGTGTGTGTGTGTGTGTGTGTGTGTGTGTGTGTGTGTGTGTGTGTGTGTGTGTGTGTGTGTGTGTGTGTGTGTGCGCGCACCATGCTTCTCTGGTGCTCCTCAGGGCCTTCATCCTTTTGGGGTCCACCCCCACGTAGTCCATACAGTACGTGCACGCCCGCCTCGTGCACGCTCCTCATCAGACTGATCGCTGCCTCCTTCAGCCGTGCAGCGTTTCTGGTTATAATTATTACAATAAATAATTTAATTCTTGGTGTATTTATATGTTGATGCAAACTGTAAAAGGATGGTTGGATATTTTTTATTTATGTAAACTGTCCCTGTTAAATAATACATATTTAATCAAAATGTAATATATTTTTTACAATATTATTTACATTTTATATTAATTAGGAAATAAACTATTAATAACAATTAAATTAAATAAAAAAGGAAATTAATTAAATAATATAAAAATTAAATAAATTGAATAAATAATATAAAAACTAACTTCCACAATTGTTACTCTTTGTACTTCATTTGACTCAAGAACGTATAAAAAGGTGTCCTCTTTCCAACAATGTGTCTGTGGAATCAAAGGGACGTACACATGCAGAGCTGTGAGCCTCGCAGTAACAGGAGTACCAACTAACGTATATTCATTAATAGCAGAGATTTCAGAAGAGAATTCAACTTTGATCTACTGATTGATACTCCACTCAGAGCCGGCCCTGACTGCAGCTATGTTTCTGTGGAGGAGACACAGAGGGACTCTTTAAACTGCAGCTACGTTCCTGTGGAGGAGACACAGAGGGACTCTTTAAACTGCAGCTACGTTCCTGTGGAGGAGACACAGAGGGACTCTTTAAACTGCAGCTACGTTCCTGTGGAGGAGACACAGAGGGACTCTTTAAACTGCAGCTACGTTCCTATGGAGGAGACACAGAGGGACTCTTTAAACTGCAGCTACGTTCCTATGGAGGAGACACAGAGGGACTCTTTAAACTGCAGCTATGTTCCTGTGAAGCTTTACTGAAGCTCTCATCAGGACTAACGCTTCATTCAGTAACATTGTGCTCTTATTTATAGCAAAGCTGCAGGCTGGGAAACAAAAGGTACAGAAGAATATTAGTTTCATGCTTTGTTACATTATTTAATAAACATTTAGCTTTCTTCACAAAATGCTAAATACAATAAAAGTGTTACTCCTCTGTGTTTGTTCTCTTGTATGAATGCCTAGCACTAAACCTCTTCTGACAAAAGGGCTCAAAGATGCTGCTCTGTGAAGAAAAGAGAAACTAAAAGTGTGTTTTCTTTAGTCTTAGGGGGAAATAAAGGAGTAAACTAACCAGAGACACAGGGGGTGAGGAAGAGGAGCAGCAGGATGAGGAAGATCATCTTTTCCTGGTGAGAGGACACACACACACACACACACACACACACACACACACACACACACACACACACACACACACACACACACACACACACAATTAGAAAATGACAGTCTGTCTTGACTACAGCATTTATTAAAGAGCAACCAGAGGACAGTGATCGTCGGACACTAGGTGGCGCCAGATATTAACATTGTATTATATTTCCTTTTAACTGAACCAGGACCCACACCACTGTCGATTACCCCAACAACAAAATGACGTGATGTCGTGCGTCCGCTGCGTCGGCCGACATGTTTTTGTTCAAGCCTCTTTAGCGGCTCCGTAGAATCAGAATGGGTTTTATTACAAAGTAGGTTTACACATACGAGGAGTGTGCTTTGGTTTATGTGGTGCATACAGATCCACAGAAAGAAGAATACATAGTAAACAGGACTGTTGTGGGAGACGTGACTGACAGAAACATTTACAAATAAAGTATATTTTATATACACATTAACAATAGAAGCATATATTTGATACAATATAAAAAATACACAACGTCGAAGTATACAGAATTATTTAGAAAACCCTATAATTACAAACCCACTACTGAAAACAGCATGTAAACATTATGAAGTGTGCAAAGTAGCTGCAGTTTTAAATACAATCTGAAATGCAGTGAGCACAAGCCTGAGAAAACACTTTAATAGACTAACATACTATAGACTATAGACCGGATATAAAGTGTGCAAAGTAGCTGCAGTTTGAAATTTAAGCCTGAGTATAACATGTACACATTGTTCAGGGTTATTGAAGAGAGAACAACAGAGGGACATCTGGTTACAAAAGAAACTATAGTGCTAAATACTTAAACTTTAATATATCCATTCATTACCTTGGATGTCTTCAGTCACAGAGTTTTCCATTCAGTCGCTTCCTTCAGCTGAAGCAGTACTGACATTGCATGGACTTTATTGAGTGGGAAGGAAGTGGAGCTGAGGATTTCACAACACTCTCCTAACCCAGCGACAATTTTCTAACCACATCATGCGTACATGAGCACAGACTCAGATTATCATGCTGTCACACTGTATGCATTTGCATTAGTCGCTTCATGTTTGTAGATCCCTATTACCAGTCGCGGCTGGTGGAAAATATTTTAGGTGGGGCTGTGGAAATGGTGACCAAACAATACTAGGGGAGAACGGGGGGACGCCCCCCCGGTAAAGATTTTTGAGAAAAGACCCCTGACTTCTGGTGATGTTAGAGGGGGGGGGGGGTGGAAGGACAAATTGAGGCTTACAAATATGAGAAGACTGATCAATACCTCCATAATCTTCAGTGTGGTTAGCTATGAATCTTCCAAAACTTCCAAACACCTTGTCCTGGACATAGTTTCTACAGCATAAACTGTGCAACAGTACAGTAGGGGCTTTGGGAACACTCAAAATTACTTAAAATGATTTAATTCCCATTTAACCTGTTAAGGGGCTTTTTCCCCCCGTTTTTTTTCTCACGAAACTGTGTCTCAGGGCTTCTTAAAATGTAAAAAAACATTCATGTGTCCTACTCAGAGGAAACGCAGCTAACTAAATGAGCCCTGAAAGAAAAAATGCTAACGCACTCTAGGTATAAATCAATCGATATACTTACCGGATATGCACAAACAAGCTTATGCTAACAAGCTGAGATTCCACAGATTCTAGAAATATAAGTATCATCACTGAGCGATCAGAACTCGCGAGTTTAAAGATAGCAACAGTTGGCTTCTGCTTCACTTGCTGCACTCTCGTCTGGGCGCTGTGCATAGCGCCCAGACGAGAGAGGGTACGGGCAAGGCCAGGCAGGAAACATGTGACTTATCAGTAACTTTAGACATCGTAACACAATTTTAAACGAGATTTTATTGTAGATTATACATTTTACTGATACCAATTATATAATATTTACCTTGTTAATTAAAAAAAAATTAAAAATTAAAAAAAAAATATATATATTTTTAATGTGGGAAGAGGGGGGGCGGCGCCCCTATGGGCCGGCCGCCACTGCTTATTCTTTATATACGTGTTACACGTTATTTAAACCACTGGTTTACAGGGTGTCTGGGGACTTTATCTCCTCCCCTACAGCCTGAACTATACTCATACTATATATACTGCAAAGTGAATGCTGCACAGGATACTCAGACCACAGAAAACCGACAGCAGGAACACTCCCTTCTCTGATTCTGCATCAAGACAGCCTCGTTGAAACACCAACTATAGCTTCATCGGACATATTCACCATGACATCTAGAAAACACAACTGTCAGCACTGAGGTCTCTACAGTCTCAAATATTTACAGGTAAGAACACATGTTTATACTTTATTGAGGAAATGTCTCTTACTGCTGCTTTCTGTTTCTCTCCTGTTGAACCTCTTATAGAGAAAAGGCACCACATTAAACTAAAATAAGAGAACGAGTTGGAAAGAAACAGCTCGCAGCGGCGAAACCGTGCCGCGCCACACTAATTGCGCCTCATAAACGCATAGTTGAGGCTCCCTCCGCAAGATGAGGCCCCACGCAGTCTGCGTGATCTTCCAGGGACGGCCCTGTTTATTCTCTGCCCTTATAGTCCGCTATTGGCTATTCTATATGCACGCTGAAGGCTCTTTGAGCAGCTTTTCTCTCACTGATTGTGCTGTTATGTTAAATGTTTGTTGTTTGTGTTTCATGTATTTTTTGACTTGATCTGACAAATAAAGTAATATCGTATCGTATCGTATATGTTGTCCCTCTCGATTTTTTGTGATTTTTGCGGTTTTCTTAATGGTAATTTTCAGACTTATGTGAGTCGGACTCGTTTAGTGGTAGCTCATGTAGACTTGACTCTTGTGGTTAAACTTTTCGCTCCGTATTTTGATGGTTGGGGTGTCGAATCCTGGATTTTGCATTCATTCGTCACTTCTTTTTCAGTGCTTTTTTATTTAATATATGTTTTTATTTATAGGTCCCATGTCATGGCCATTTCTACTGATCATAATTCCATTGTTGAGGTCTACTAGAATAGATTTACATTGTTCAATGTTCCAAACTCACATTGGTTTCTCATACAGCATGTATAGTATGTGTATTCACTCTCTGTCCTAAACGGCTTGTTGGAGCTCCTGCAGACCGTTTACATGCAGAAAAAACCTTCATAACACAAGGGGACGGGTAATAACCAGAAAGCATGACATGGGACCTTTAAGATTTATTGTTTAATTGTACATATTTGTCATGTAATAATCAAAATATATGTTTACAAATGTTATAGTCTTTGTCAGCATCTTTTGAATTATAAATATTTCTCTTTTACCGTTTTGTGTTAATTATTAGGGTCTAAATGAGCTAATGGATTTTTACATCAAGTGCTTGAGGGTGGGATTAATAGAAACATTTTTCTTTGGGGGGATGCTTTGTATGGCAGGCCTACAGTATAGTTGCAGAAACAGCATGTGAAACCCGTGTGAAAATAACCACAGAGAGCTGAAGTCAACATATGCTCAGTCTTTACTTCTGCTCTTGTGATAAAGGACAGGTCAGCTAGGACACATCTTCTTTCTCCCTTGCAAAGTGTCACTCTGTGAGAAGTCATATTGTCCTGATGGCATTTTTAAAAGTCTTCACTGACACTGAGAACAGTGGACTTGAGCCAACAAGGAGAGCCATACGCTGCAAAAACTGTATTTGCATGGGGAGTCGTAACAGTTAAACAAACAACTCATATTCATTTCAACATAGAGAAGTTATAGTAAACATAAACTGCTATTATATTGTTTGCTATATTGATACCTTAGACCAGGGGTGTCAAACTCAAGGCCCGGGGGCCACATGCGGCACGCAAAACATTTTGAATCGGCCCTCACTCAATTAAAAAGTATAACGACTTAAGTATAATAAACTTCTGCTTGTCTTATATTGTACTTCTTAAATATATGTGTTCAAATATGTTACACAGTATTCATGTGTTAATAAGCCACATTTTCAAATAAATTCAGTCATTTAAAGTTGAAAACATGTTCTAACAAATCTAAGTTGATAAGAAAAAAGCCCAATAACAAATATACATAACAACCTTGAAATAAACCTTTCATATTTCCTCTTATTATAAGAAATCTGAGGCTTCTGTTTTAAGAAATGAGCAGCTAACAAACTAAATGAAACCCTCTGGAGAGCTGGGAGCTGTTTTTTTTCTTAAGGCATTTTCAAGAATCATTTACTTACATTTGAATGTTTTTGCTATAACTGAACTTATGAGGCAATATTCCTCGAGTGAGTGGCCCAGCACTAAGAATATCTTTCTGTATGTGGCCCTCGTGAAAAAAGGTTGGACCCCCCTGCCTTAGACTGTATCCTACATTACTCTTTTTATTTTTGGTTAGATGGTAATGAGAGTGAACTGAATTCAAATCACAAGAAGAGAAGAATCACTATTGAATGATATCAACATTAAATCAGCTGCATATCTGTGATCTTCTTTTATATTTAAAAACATATCACACATAACGTTGAGGTACATGTCTTGAGTATTTCCATGTTATGCTACTACTCAACTGCTTTTAAAAGGGAAATAATGTAATGTCTTTCCTCTACATTTATTTAACAGCTTTAGCTATTCTTTTAACAAAATGCTTCTCTTAAAATTAAACTAGTGCACTAACTCAGTAAGTCAGAAAAAAAGTCAAAGATTTAATTATTTTACAAAAAGTAAATCAGCACTTTGTCTACAACAGTAAAATGATTCTTGATAGAAATGTCATATATAAATATCATTACACATAAAGGACCTTCTCTGCACAATGATTACTTTTTATACTTTAAGTACATTTAGCTGATAATACTTTTGTATTTTGACTGCAGTTCAGTTTGACTCTTTCTGACTTTAAGAAAGAGCAACTATTTTACACTGTGCGAAAAGTCGTATTGAAACTCTGTTCCGATTCCAATAATCATACTTCCTCTGTGGCACAGTCAACATGGTTCTCTCTGTTTGTAAAGTGAAGAGAGAAAAACTCCAATCTGCCCACCGGGGTTTAATTACATTCTAGTTTACATTCTCCACGTAGAGAAGCTGACAACTCAGCATGACTGATATTTTCCCCTCACGAAGGACACATTGAACTTTATATTTATCCACCAACAAAAGGTCACCCTTGATGTGTAAAGTCCTTTTTGGCATTATGGCATTTCAATGTATAACAACGCGTTAATTAAATATGTTTTTAGTTTCTCTTTTGTGTCTCATGCGATTCAGTAAGTTTGTCTTGAACAACGTTTCAACATCTTTCCAACTCGTTCTCTTATCTTGGTTTAATGTGGTGCCTGTTCTCCATAAGAGGTTCAACAGGAGGAGACGGTTCAGGAGAGAAAGTCCTCAGACACACCCTGTAAACCAGTGGTTTAAATAACGTTCAACACGTATCTTAGTTAAAGAAGAAGAAGAAGGATCAATGACCTTACAGCCAAATGATGAAACTCACAGTGACTGAAATAAATAAATATAGATATAACACTTTACAGATGTTACATGGGGGATGTATGGAGTCTCATCTACTGATGTGACTGATAGATGTCATGTTTCTATCTCATTGGCCTCAGAGCTGTCTGTCTGCAGGAGGCCCTTATTAAAAACCTGCTGTTTTCTGTCTGATTAGTGGTTAGTGCAGAAGTCCCATCAATTGCACCTGGCAATGCTGCTTCTAGCTGTCAGTGCTTAGATGTTATCAAGCTGAAAAAATGAACGCAGAATTCCAACATACTGTCATCAAATGTCTTTCTGTTATGAATTTAAATTGTCCTTTTGAAACTTGTCTTGTGTTCATTTCTATCTCCATCATGACCTAAAAATAAAGTCTATGGCTTTTACTTCTAATTATTTACCAGGCTAGAGACAAGATGTTGTCTAAATCAAATTCTGTCTCATCACATTACTATGTTTTAGCTTAACTTAACTGT